AACATCCAACTTCTTTTGCAATTACCTTTTGAGGCTTTCCCTCCTTATGGAGGGTGTCAATGATGGTTTTCTGCACAACTGTCAGGTCAGCAGTCTTTCCCATGATTGTGATTCCTACTGAACCAGACTGTGAGACCATTTAATGGCTCAGAAACCCTTTGCAGGTGTTATGGCTTAATTAGCTGATTAGAGTGGGACACTTTGAGCCTAGAATATTGCACCTTTTCACAATATTCTAATTTTCTGAGATTGTGGATTTGGGGTTTTCATGAGTTGTAAGCCATAATCATCACAATTATGACAAATCACGGCTTGAACTATCTTGCTTTGCATGTAATGAGTCTATCTCATATATTAGTTTCACCTTTTAAGTTGCATTACTGAAATAAATGAACTTTTGCACGATATTCTAATTTTTCGAGTTTCACCTGTAGGTCTCATTAATGTACTGCAAAGCTGTAAGATTGGCCTCTGGGTTTTTTTCTGCTTACAAACCCTATATCAGGTGTTATGATTGTAGTGGAAAATAATGCCTGAAACATTTCCCACATTTTTCCTGAAACTGTTCACACTGAATAAAGCTGTGTTGTAGGATATAATGACAATGCTTAAAGTTGAGCTCCAGACATACAAATTTTTATTAAAATATTTCTTGATAATCACAAAGGGTATTAATCCACTTTGTGCACCAAATGCCTTTACAACTCCAGCGTTACCTCCTGCACATAGCAGTCAATATAAATAAAAAAGATAGTGACCTGCTCCTATTGTGACAGCAGCTAAAACTCCAAAGGTACCAATAATGCCTCAAGGTAAATTACAGAAAATGGGTGTAGTGCTATGGTAATAAAATGCAAAATGATATAAACCAATAGAAATAAAAATATGCCAAAAAGTCTTCGTAAGTAAATGCGAAATGTCCGCATATAAAATGTTCAATTAAAATAAACTTTCAAAAGGTGAATACCAGCAGCAGATGAACTTGTGACATCCGTAAGTAGTAAAAGTGCGCACTCACCGGAAATGCATTGAAAATGCGCATATAATGTAGGCCGTGAAGATATCAATAGGTAGACAGGATAATCTGGTGAACTTTTCTTCTATGATGTAGTCATCAAGTTGGAAGGATTAAGGTATCTGCTGAATCCAGAGGTCCCCCTTAAGGATGGATATAGGTGCTCAACCTGAGTGCAGGGCTCCTTTTCCTCTGGTGTAGTATGTAAGCAAATTTATTTATATGCAGAATAACATAGGTCACAGGGTATAGTATAAATGATATGCTGACCCTGAATAAAGATGGCCGCCAGGCTTCCTCCAGGCTCCGGCGGCAGTAAAGTCACGTGCTGTCTGGTTCCTCCTAAGGATACCTTAATCCTTCCAACTTGATGACTACACTATAGAGGAAAAGTTCACCAGATTATCCTGTCCACCTATTGATATCTTCACGGCCTACATTATATGTGCATTTTCAATGCGCTTCCGGTGAGTGCGCACTTTTACTACTTACGGATGTCACAAGTTCATCTGCTGCTGGTTTTCACCTTTTGAAAGTTTATTTTAATTGAACTTTTTATATACGGACATTTCGCATTTACTTACTAAGACTTTTTGGCATATTTTTATTTATATTGGTTTATATCATTTTGCAATTTATTACCATAGTGCTACACCCATTTTCTGTCATGCACATAGCAGTGCCATCATCCCTGTGCTGCATGAAGCCTGTAAATAAATCCGTGCTGTAGGAGGGGCCAAGCATGAAAAATGTGCTATGGTTATTTATTTATTACAGGCACTTATGTAGCATTTTCAGGCCTCATACACACAGGACGCAGGGATGTTAGTTTCTCTGCACGTATCCTGCAAGGGCACAACAAAATCTGTTCTCTATGTGCCCTGCTCACACCACAACATTGGTGTGATGTGCAGATATTTTCTGTGCAGGAGTCTGCAACATGTATAACACCAATTGAAGCATGCATGGAAACTGATGTCTCTGCAAGTGAAATCTGCACGTCAGTTTCCATCAGTTCTTCTGCAGGTATGGTGTGAACAAAGCCTTGGGGCGTCAGAATTTTTATTTTTTTTGTTTTTACTGCTTCGAAACAGCCCTCCATGTTATCCCATGTGCCCATTAACACATGGACTTTTAGAAGCTTTTAGTAGCTGTAGCATTTACCAGCAGGGAAAAAAACCCCAGGGCCAGGGCATCCAGGAGCAGCAGTGTTTTAGCAGAAAAAAAAGCTTGATGCTAAATGCGCCTAAACACTTGTTAATGCTAGGCGTGTTTACCGCTTCAGTGTTGATTCATTTCAATGGCCAGAATAAATTATTATTCTGGCCAATGAAGTGAATGAACACCCAAGTGCTTGACACTTGTAAACGCGCCTAAACACTTGTAAAAGCGTTTGATACTTTGACAAGCATCAGGCCTTTTGTTTGCCAAACTGCTGTTGGCAAGAGGAGGAGCATATTTTAAACATCCTGTGTGCATGAGGCCCCAATTTACATACAGTGGGTATAAAAAAGAATCGCTTCCCTTTTAAAAACTTCACATTTTGTTGCTTTGCAGCCTGAAATTAAGACAGACACAGTTTTTGTTTTATCCAGCTGTTATTATTCAGTGCAACCTATAACATCCAAGTGAAAGATATAACACCAACATGTCTGAAGAAAATAAAAAAAAAATCACAAACCGAATGACTGAGTTCAAAAAAAGGATCACCCCCTTCTAAAAATGACTTGTAAACTCAATTATGTGTAGCTAATCACCTATGTGACGGGAGTGACTTTTGGGGGTGGGGGGACCCCTGTGTCAGCTCATGTTCCCTTCATTATGTTTAACCCACCCTGTGCCTGTTAAGGGGTACAGGGTGTGAATGTATATTGTGTATTGGTGTGTTGTCCTTTGTTCCCTGCCATGTGGTTGCCCATTATCTGCCATGTGCTACATCCCATTGTTCTGTGTCTTGGTTGGATGGGGCGGGCTGATGATGTGTTTCCTGTAGCCCTCCCCACTGATGGGGCGGGCTGATGATGTTTCCTGTTCCTGGTTGTGTTTCCCCTCCCTGTGTATATATCTTGTTTTTTGTGTAAAAATAAAGGAGTTGACTTCTTGTCTTAAGAGAGTCTGGTGTTGTCTTATTTCCTGCATGATCAGGGGGTGTGGTCCGTGGATTTGTGTTTGGACAGGGAAGCTGCAGTATAATGGAAAGTACCCAAGTGCGGTCTGGGTTTCCGGTTCCATTACAGCCTTCTCAATGGCACACACATCTTTTTGACATTCGACTGTGATCAACTGTGGATATTTTGATTGTCAGCATGAAAATAATTTTACCTGGAGCATTTCAGTCTTTGGTAGTGCAACTTAAGCAAACAGTCAACTATAGGTGGCAGGGCACTGTCAAAAGATCTCTGGGGTTAAGTTGTGGACAGGCACAAATCAGGAGATGGATACAAATACATTTCGATGGCTTTATCAATGCCTAGAAGCACAGTAAAGTCTTATTATTAGGAAATGCAAGGTATACAACACAGACCCTCCCTGGATCAGAACTTTGCTCCAGACTAGATGAAAAATCAAGGAGGAAGCTGGTCAGAGAGACTACCAAGAGACCTACAGCAACTCTAAAGCATTTGCAGGAATTTATGACAAAGAGTGGTCATTGTGTGCATGTGACAACAATATCACAAATTCTCTGCAAATGTGGCTTGAATGGGAGCATTGCAAGAAAAACGCCACTCCTCAAGAAAGGCCACATGTAGTCACAACTGAGCTTTGCCAAAACGCACTTGAAGATTCTGAGGGCACATGGAAAAAGGTGTTCTGGTCAGATGAAGCTAAAATTGAATGATCTGGCCTCAACACTAAATATGTCTGGCGTGAATCTAATACAGCTCACAGCTCCTTCAGTAAAGTATGGAGGTGGTAATAGCCTGTTATGGGGTTGTTTTTCTACAGCAGGGACTGGAGCACTTGTCAGGATAGAAGGAAAAATGGATGGGGAAAAATACCTTCAAATTCCTTTGGAAAATCTGCTGCCCTCTGTCAGAAAGTTTTCAATGGGAAGAATGTTTACCTTCCAACATGGCAAAGACCCAAAGCACACAGCAAAAATTACCACACAGTGGTTGGAGGGGAAAAAGGTGATTGTCCTTCAATCGCCCAGTCAGAGCCCAGACTTAAACCCCGTTGAAAATCTGTGGAAGACTGCAGTCCAGAAACAGTCACCATCAAATTTAACTGAACTTGAGCAGTTCTGCAAAGAAAAGTGGGAAATATTGCAAAGTCTAGATGGGCAAAGTTAGTAGAGACATATCCCAACAGACTAAAGGCTGGAATTAAAGCAGAAGGCGATTTAACAAAATACTGACACAAGGGGGTGATCTTTTTTTTCCAACTCAATGATTCTGTTTTTGAATTTTTAAAAAACAATTTCTGACATGCTGGTAATATATCTTTCACTTGGATGTTATAAATAGTAAGTACAGCTGTATAAAAGAAAAACTTTGCCTGTCTTCATTTCATACTGCAAAGCACCAAAATCTGATTATTTTAAAGGGGGGGGGAGTGATTCTTTTCTGTACCCACTGAATATATTGTACATTCACATCAGTCCCTGCCCTCAAGGAGCTTAGGTTCCTAACTGACATTCATACATATATTAGGAACAATTTAGACAGGAGCCAACCCACCAGCATGTTTTTGACGTGTAGGAGGAAACCCATGCATTCACAGGGAGAACATGCAAACTCCATGCAGGGAAAGTCATAGTTGGAATTTGAACTGATGACCCTAGTGCAGATAGGCGGAAGTTTTTACCAGTTATGGAATTAGTTTTGCAATACACCCCAGGCTTCTTGATTTATACCTCTAAAAGCAGAGTTGGTTGCATGGGCTACACTGCTGCAAGGTCACCCTAAGATAACATTTTCACGTTTTTTACATCATACTTTTCCACTTCAGAAAAAAAATTCTAATGTTTGTGCTTGTTTTGCAGTCAAGTGGATTACCGGGCAAAACTCTGGGCTTGCAATTTCTGTTATCAGAGAAATCAGGTGAGAGAAATGCCAATAAATACATGACAGGTTCATTTAGGAGAAGGAAAAATGCATTGCCCATAGCAACCATTATTTAGGAATCAAAAAAAAATTGTGATTTGTTCTTAATATCTTCAGATTAGTGGGGCTGTATTTGGCCACCACAGGATATGGCAAAATATTTTGTCTTCTACCAGGCCAGTTTACACCCATTGTAGTGTTGTGTGCCAAAATAATGACAGCATGTAACGCACTGCAACCAGTAGAACCTGATTAAATTTTACTTTGTGGCATTTGAATAAAATTCACTTTAAAAAAAAAAAAAAAAAAAAAATTTGTGATGGGCGTATTTTGGCATATCAACAACACTGACATCCACATACCAGCAGTTGTGTTCTAGCACAGCAGCTGGTGTGCAGTGACCTTAATTACAAATGATCAATTTTCTTTGCTGCCGTGTAAAAGTTCAACTGTATTTTTTTTTTGTTCATTGTAAATTCTTCTTTTTCAGTTTCCTCCAACATATGCTGGCATCTCTGAAATGAACCAGCCCGCAGAACTCCTGCCACAGTTCTCCAGCATTGAATATGTGGTCCAGGTGCCGTAGACTCTTCCTAATACTTAACTATAATCTCCTTACCTATGCTAACCATATTATATTACTGTATTTGTATGTCCACCTGAGAATTGAATTGATTACTCTATACCATCCATTTGTTCTTTACCTCATCCACTGCTTTCTAATTTTTGCATAGGGAAACTTTGTGAATCTGTGATTTTTCATATTGTTAGCATTTCAAGATTGTGTAAATGTGTTGCTAAAGCCCAACTGAACTTTCAGTTTAACCACTGTTTGTACCAGTGCTGTTAATTTTTTACAGTCATGTTAAAATCCGTAGTTTTTGCTAGAAAACCCTTTCGCTGACATACCTGTTTTTGCACACGTTAAAAAGCTGCTTTAGGCTTGAGGATTGCGTAAACCCCCCCCCCCCCCCCCCGAAACATTATATATTTTCTGAAAGCAGATACCTAGAGAATAGAATAGGGGTAGTTCCAATTTTTTTTTTTCACACACATGCCAGAAGTCTACCAAGCAAAATGTGTGAGTTGGAAGCTGTGGTGCACGAAGAGAACTATGACTTAATTGGTATTGCTGAAATCATGGCTTCATTCTTCACTTGACTGATCTATTAATATTCCTTACTATGCTCTCTTTCGGAGAGACAGAATAAAAAGGAAAGGTGGTGGTATCTGTATCTATGTGAGAAGTCATATCAAAGCGAGTGTGAAAGAAGACCTAGCTGATGGAGAGTGTGGTGAGGCTGAAGCATTATGGGTGGGACTGCACATGGGGGTGCATACTACAAAGGTAATCATTGGAGTTTGTTATAGGCCACCCAGTGTTGATGAGGTGGAGACTTAGCTCCTTGCACAGACTGAAAGGGCTGGGACAGTGATAATAATGGGGGATTTTACCTACCTGGAAATTAACTTTTCGTGCAGTGCCATTACTCTGGTCAAAGGGCAAAAATGTGTAAACCTATTACAAGACAATTTTATGGTATGGGTCATAGATGCCCCGACTAGGAATGATGCTCTGCTGGATCTGGTAATCTCAAACCATGCAGAGCTTATTACTAATGTTCATATACAACAGTGTTTCTCAACTCCAGTCCTCATGGACCCCCAACAGGTCATGTTTTCAGGATTTCCCTCAGATGAAACAGCTGTGGTAATTACTAAGGCAGTGAAACTGATCAAATCACCTGTGCAAAATAATGGAAATCCTGAAACCATGACCTGTTGGGGGTCCATGAGGACTGGAGTTGAGAAACACTGATATACAAGAACATCTGGTTAGCAGTGATCGTAACATGATTTCATTTAATGTTAGCTGGAAACAACAACCACATACTGGAAAGATAAAAACACAAATTTTCCAAGGATGAGGGCTGCTCTCCAAGACTGAATATTGGCATCGATGAACAGAATTGGGAATTCTTCAAAAAGGCTGTATGTGAACATACGGCAAAATATATTCCCAATGGACAATAAGTTTAAAAGGCTAAACACCATGGCGAAAGTTAAAAAGGCTATAAATAATAAGAGAAGAGTTTTAAAAAAATTAAAGAACACTATCATTTAATTGTTACAAGGAATATAACAGAATATGTAAAAATGTAATCAGGACCACACAAATTCAAACAAACTACAGACTGCAAAAGATTGGGACAACACCCCCCCCCCCCCCCCCCAAATTCTTCAAATATATTCATATTAAAAAGGTCAAGTCTAAGCATATAGGCCTTTTAAAAAATAATCTAGAGTGGGTGACTGGGGACAAAGAGAAGGCAAATTTATTAAATACCATCTTCAGCCCTGTGTATAAAAAGGAGCATGGGGGAGCTCTTGTCCGTAATGGGGATGATATTGACACAGCTCCAAATGATCCACAATGGCTCCAAATTGATAAGGTCCAGAGATATTTAGAGAGAATAAAGGTGAATAAAGCACCTGGACCGGATGACATACACCCACGGGTCCTTTTAAAGAATTGAGCTCTGTCATTTCAAAGCCATTGTTTCTAATTTTTAGTGACTTTTTAATGACTGGCATAGTACCACTTGACTGGTGTAAGGCCAATGTGGTGCCAATATTTAAAAAGGGATCAAAGTCTTTACCAAGTAATTATAGACCTGTTAGTTTAACCTCTATAGTTGGTATGATACTGGAGAGTATAATTAAAGACCACATAGATGAGTTCTTGATGGGAAATTTTATTTTAAGCAACAGACAGCATAGATTTATGAAAGACAGAAGTTCTCAAACAAATCTGATTTCTTTTTATAAGGAGGTAAGCAAAACCTTCGGCAAAGGAGTGGCTGTGGATGTACTAACATAGCAATACTTGGATTTTTTTAAAAAGCGTTTGACGCAGTTCCCCACACACGGTTAATGTGTAAGGTAAAGAAAACTGGCTAAAAGACCGTATTCAGAGTAGTAGTTAATGATTCATGCTCTGAATGTTCTAGGTTTATCACTGGTAATATATTTATAAACAATATAGGGTCTGGGATTAAAAGTAGCATTTCAGTCTTTGCAGATGATACCAAGCTGTGCAGTGGAATAACGTCCTTACAGGATGTCTCCAATTTACAAGCTGACCTCAATGCTCTGTGTAATTGGGCAACTATGTGGCAAATGAGGTTCGAGGTTGATAACTAAAAGTTACGCATTTGGAGCCTAAGAACATGCATGCATCATACATACTGGGGGGGTACAACTGGGGGAATCAATGGTGGGGAAGGATCTGGGAGTTCTGGTAGATCACAAGCTTAATAATGGCATTCAATGCCAAGCTGCGGTTTCTAAAGCGAGCAAAATCCTCTCTTGTAATAAAGAGGTATAGACTCCAGAGAGAGAAATCATTTTACCCCGGTACAAATCATTTGTAAGACCTCATCTGGAATATGCAGTTTTGTGCACCAATTCACAAAAAGGATATCTGGGAACTGAAGAAAGTGCAGAGAAGCAGAACCAAAATAAGAAAAAGGCATGGAGGAGCTCAGCTATGAGGAAATATTATAACTGAATTTATTCTCTTTTGAGAAGAGGAGATTAAGGGACGATATGATGAACATGTATAAATACATCAGTGGTGTATATAGTGAACCTGTTGTAGAGTTATTCACAGTTGTTGTAAACTGTTTTTAAATTTTACCTACAGGTAAGCTTTTAATAAAACTTACCTGTAGGTAAAATGAATATCTGCTAAATGTGAACCGTTTAGGAGATATTCTCACTTCATTTAATACGGCGCATGCACTCTGAAGGAATGGCATACCCTTGTTATTCCTTCAGAGCGGTGTGCCGTGGCCCGGGACTCCCGCGCGCATGCTGTCAGAATGCCGGAGCTCGCAAGCCCGGAAGGAAGACGGGTGAGGATGAAAGCCTTTACAGCAGTGACAGTGTGCCGCTGGAGGGCTTTGTTTTAAGGTACGTTTTACATAATGTGCTAGTATACAATTCATACTAGCACTTTGTATTTACCTTGCAGGGTTTACTACCGATTTAAGGACATCACAGGGGACAAGGGGGCACTGTATACGTATGGGGGATCAGGAAGGAATTTTTCCCCTGCTGAAGCAAATTGGATCATGCTTTCTTAGGGTTTTTATTTACCTTCCTCTGGATCAACTGTGGGTATAGGATTGTGTATATAGGATTGTATCATTTTTTTTTTTTTTTTTTTTACCTTTTTTATTGGTTGAATTAGATGGACTTTTAACCAGACTATGTAGCAAAGTTTAATGAAACACAAAACGTCAGTAGAATATGCACTAAAAATAATTTTAGGGCGCAAAAGCACAATATTTTGCCTAATTTTTTTGTACAGTGTAAAAGAAAATATAAAAGATGAGACTGCACCAAGTAGATACCAGCATATCAAGCCTTAAAATTGTGTGTGTCTGTGAAATGGCAACTAACTTCCGTACCCTATATTTTCCACAAACAACACTTTAATAGCCCCTATAAGTTACCAGTTTAGAAGTAACCATGAATAACAGGCCTAGAATTATTGCTTTCACTCCTGCATGCACAGCAGTATGTAATGTGTAGTGCAATCAATGTTCTTATGCAAAAACTCCCCCGAAGCATGCATTTATGTTCCTGCTTGCATGTATGTAGTGATCAGGCTCAGAAATTTGGGGGGGGGGGGAGGATTTTAAGTGCTTAGGTTTAATAATTTTTTACACTTTTTTTTTTTTTTTCTATACAAGACTTACCAGGCAGAATTGATACAACCTACATACTGATCAATATTGCTATATTTTCTTTCTTTTCTATGCTTGGCCTACATCTGATATTTTTATTGTTGTTTTAGTTGCTTGAACAATAAAGATTTTGGGTTTTTCTGGGGGATTTGGAATCTGTTTTGGGATATTGGCAACAAGGATAGCCTCAAATCACACCCACAGGAACTTTAGTGACGTAAAAAATTAAAACTACCATAATTTTATTCTCTAGAGTGCCTGATTTTAGAGAATATATGTTTGGGGGTTTTAACCAATCTTAACTGCTTAATTTTTTAAACGTGTGCAAAAAATTAAACAAAAATGGCTGCAAAGGGTTAAAGTCCAATTCGGCATTAATGAATTCTAAAATCAAATCAAAATAATTAAATATATATAATTAAACCCAAATCAATAATTAAATAACAATAAAGGAAATATTTTCACAAATAAATCAGCCCCGGGCCAGATTTTTTTTTTTAACACACTTTTTATTTTTGTGGTATCCATGTTGCTATAGCATTCATATGAATGGGTTACAGTATATTGTCTACCACATATAACAGAATTTGTTGCAGGCTAAAATTTGCTTTGTTTTGGGCAAAAGGTAAAATCAAATGTGTATCTGCTTGATTAGTAATGTGAATACACATGATTTGTCTGCCTTTGTATCCACTCATGTTCATATGTTTGTTTTTGTTGGAACTACAGCGAGGTCCTCAAATGCCATTAATCTTCCTTTATGTTGTGGACACATGCATGGAAGATGAAGATCTTCAGGCTCTGAAAGAATCAATGCAAATGTCTCTTAGCCTGCTCCCTCCAACCGCTTTGGTGGGACTCATTACCTTTGGTCGCATGGTCCATGTACATGAACTTGGCTGTGAAGGCATCTCTAAAAGCTATGTTTTCCGTGGAACCAAAGATCTGTCTGCAAAACAGCTTCAGGTGAGTGATCAGAATTGGATGCCACTACCTGTTTGTTTAACCCCTTCACACCTAAGGGTAAACCAAATTTTAAAAGCCTAAGTAAAATTTTACAACTTTGACATGTGTTAGTAAAACCGCACATATCATCACAACTAGTTTGTACATCCAGGTAAATTATACCCTTGTTTTTTTCATGACAAATTGGGCTTTCGTTTGGTGGTAAATGGCAATGCATATCTCCTGGTTTTTTTTTTTTTATCAGGAAAACTGTCCCAAAATAGTAAAAATAAATCATTTTCTTTAATTTAGCTGTGTGTTTCTTGTTACTACCATAACCTACCACCAAAGAACAACCCAAAATAAATTTTCTGGCTCTTGACGATTGCAGCGATACCATTTATGTGTATGTTATTTGTTGTTTGTACCTGTACTACAGCCCAGAAACCGTAGTGCGCGGTTTGTATTTTTTACCTGTCACTACACCGCCCCGTTACCAGTGTCATGTGACTGTTGTGGTCAATCACAGCAGATCACATGTCAATTGTATACCATGGATGGCTTCCTGTCATGCCATCCGTTGTATACAATTATGCTGGTCACAGTAGTCACATGATACAGGCAGGGCCAATTACAGCCCATCTGTATCATGTGAGGAGCTTTTCCCAGTCACAGCTAATCACAACAAAAGACTGAATGAATCAGTTTCATTCAGTAACAATGATTGCAAATATCAATGAAATAAATTTGGTATTAGCAATCATAATGTGTTTAAAAAAAAAAATCCTGCTCACTTGCCCAGAGTAGTTCAATGTCACTATGGTAACATTGTATTGCTTTGGTCACAGTGTGTTGAAAAATTAATGTAATAAAAAAAATAGAAACATTTAAATAAAAATTAAATTATTATTTTTTTTTTTTTTTTTTTTTACATACTGTCACCAGTCAGTGTTTCTGATCACCGTCACACCAGTTATATAATGACGCTGTACTGGACTGGTGACAATATGTAAAAGAAAGAAAAAAAAAGTAATTTTTTTTCTTTAATTTTTACATTGCCTTTTATTAAATATCTTGAATTATTTTCCAAAATGGGTGATTTGGGAGGTATTTGTACTATCCTGGCGTTTTCGGGCCTCAAGAAATGAGATGGCCCGTCAGTACATCAGGATTGATCGATTGTCAGATATGTATTCCTTGTTTTGTGGACTCTATAACTTTCCTAAAGACTAAATAATATACACTAATTTGGGGTATTTTTTACCAAAGAAATGTAGCAGAATACATTTTGACCTAAATTTATGAAGAAATGTTATTTATTTGTAACATTTTTTTTTTTTTTCAAAAGTGTCAGGTTTTTTTGTTTTATTTAGCAAAAAATAAAAGACTCGGTGTTTCACCAAAAGAAAGCTCTATTTGTCAGAAAAAAATATAAAAATTTCATATGGGTACAGTGTTTCATGACCACACAATTGTCATTCAAAGTGCGACAATGCTGAAAATTGGCCTGGGCAGGAAGGGGGTAAAAGTGCCCGGTATTGATGTGGTTAAACAGTTGACTGGTATGATAATTTGTATGCAGGATCCTGGGGTCATGCACACATTTGAATAAAAAGCATGTATTGCAAATTGGGCATAAGGCTGGCCATACATTATGCAATTTTCTTGTACAATTTTCCTTTAGATATACCAAATCCATATAATATGAGGTCAAAGCTAAACACTTTCAATTTGTTTACAATCAGGCAGGCCCTTGCACTACACAGTTGAAGGTAAATCTAAAGGAAATTGAATAAGAAAATTGGATAATGTATGGCCAGCTTAAATGTGTTTATTATTCTGTCTCTGCGAGAGATAGCACTTTTGGGTTTTAGTTGTTTATTACTGAAAAAGAACTGTTGCCATCTGACAGTGAGAACAGCATCATGGCATGAGACTTTGAATTTTGCTGATCTTTGTAAGAAAGAAAAGTGGGCTCTAACTCTTAAAGTGGAACTTTACACCCCTCTTCCTCACATCGGCATGAATCTCACCTAACACTGCTTTGTTATGAAAAAAACATTTTTCTTTACTTATCTGTTTCGATTTCAATGTCTTGGTGAGGTAGCCATTGTTCCACAGATGCCCCCAGGAAGGCAATGTCACCATTGTCTTCAGGGAAATCTTTTACCTAGCTGTACTGAGTGTCTACAGGAGCCTGGCATGTCACCCATGATCAGCTGATTGCGTAGGCAATGCTTTACAAGCTGCAGAGTAAAAGAATAATAAATGCACATTTTTATACCTAAAAAATATTATTCTGATGACACTAACACAAATTATGTTGCTATATAACTGATTCCAAATAAAATTAAAGTAAATTTTATTTAGATTGGGTTACATAGCAACATTATTTGTTTTAGCGCTGTCAAAATAGCATTTTTTTAATATTTCGATCACTGCATCACCACTGTTTATTTAGAGGTGAAATTATTCTTATAAGTTCTGTGGCGCAGTTCTGTTTCAGTTAACACATTTTTTACCTGCAAAAAGATGAATATTTGTTATTTTGTTATTTTTTTTTTTTTTTTGTAAAAGATGAACTGGGGAGGGGGATTTACTAAAACTGGATCACTCAGAATCTAGTGCAGCTGTGCATGGTGGCCAATCATTTTCCAGATTTTCATGTCAGGGCCAATCAGCACTGTCCAGACAGAGGTCAGGGGTCCTGCAGGAGAATGAAAACTCCTTCAAACTGTATCCAGTGCTATGCTGGTCACTGATAGAATTCACAAGACTGCTCTAACTGCTGATGAGAAAAGGTATATAGCGGTTTATATTTTCTATCGGTAAGTACGAGTAACGATACTTGTGCTCCAGTACTCTCTGACACTGATTATTGATACTTTTGCGGTACGATTTCAGCTCATACAAAATTAATGGGCTCAAATCGCACTGCAAAGAATCGAATTTGATTTGAACAGGAATGCGATTCCTGTCCAAATCACATGTGGTTTCCCTGCTGGTGCAGTGCCATTTGCAGTGTGATTTGAGCCATATAAAATGGCTCAAATCGCATTGTACCTGCAGGGAAACCGCATGAGATTTGGACATTTATTTTGTATGGACTCAAATCGCATCGCAAAGGTATCGGTTTCAGGTATCAGAGCATTTGCACGAGTATTCGTGGAAATGCTTAGTATCGGCTCTGGGATCCTTCCTGTAGTTGTTAATGGGATATTCTCCCTAGTGCTGGGTTATTGGTAATATCCAGGGGATCAGGAAGGAATATTTTTCCCCTGCAGGAGCAAATTGGATCATGCTTTTGCTGGGTTTTTTGCTGGTTCTCCCTCTGGATGAACTTTGGGTATAGGATTATAACTTTTTTTTTTTTTAATGGTTGAACTGAATGGACTTTTGTCTTTTTTTCAGCCAGACTAACTATGTAACTTGGTCTCTGCTGATGGAGGTTAGGCAACTGATGATTAGCATGTGACTGGCTGGTAAAGGAAACCAGGGTGTCTTTTTCAGCTTGGGTATGGCTATCGGGCATCTGTGAAACTAGAATGAAGGGTGCCCACATGCTCTCACATAATGGGAAGTGTTCTGTTGTTTTATAATTGGAATATGTGATTTTTTTTTATTTATTTTTTTAATGGGTTCCTTATGTCACATTAATATGTCACATCATTTGTTCACATAAATTAATCTGTTAGACATCCAGACTTTAGATTTGAAATATACAGGGACATTTTACCCTTTTTTAGGGCACACTTCTAGAGTGCAGGTTGCTGGGAGAAGCCCTATAATCTACAACAGGTGCTACTAAAATGTGTTCATTTCACCATCCACCCTGATAACCACTGATATTTTTCACACCTTTTTAGCTGTTGTTTGTGAAGGGCCTTGAAGGGGTTGAAACCGCCTGCCAAACGCCTAATACTGGCTCAGTAAGAATGAGGCTTAAGAGAATGTTGCTTTAATATAGTATATGTTCAGCTTCATGTCTATGAAGAATTGATTTCAGGATTAATCTAGTGTTTTGTGTTGCAGGAAATGTTATCTCTTACAAAGGCTCCTGCTGCTCAGCCAGGACGTGGACCACAAGTTCAGCAGCCTCCTCCATCAAACAGGTACGAGCAGTATAATGCCAAGAGATAGAGACCTAGAATTCGACTGTCATTGAGAAGCAGTTATTTGAGAAGTATTTTAATTCCAATGTTCTCAGACATAATTGTAAAAGATAAATGTGAATGTGTGTTTGAAACTGTTTTTGTGCATAATTGCATTTTTGAAACTATACTACTTTAAGTGTTTTTTATTGTCTTTGTCCTGTTAGCTGTTTTGTATAAGGGAAAGGTATTCCTCTGTTTTTTTTTTTTCCAGTAATGTCTATTATTTTATAACTATGATAAAGATCAGACTTAAGCTCTCCATATACAATAACATTTTCTTGTACAATCCTTTATATGTTTCATCAAAGTGGTTGTAAAAGGCTCAAGGTTTTTTACCTTCATGCATTCTATGTATGAACGTCAAAAACCTTTTTATGTGTAGCAGCCCACTTCCTCCCCTAATACTTACCTGAACCCCCTCTCAATCCAGCAATTGTGTGCGAGAGCACCGGCCCCCCAGGTCTTTCCCTCCTCATTGGCTGAGACAGCAGTGGGACCCATTTGCTTTCGCTATTGTCAGTCACAGCCAGTGACCCAATGAGGAGAGAGCTGGGGGCAGGGCTAAGCCGCACTCTGTGTGTGAATGGTCTGGTGCCTCCATAGCAAGCTGCTTGTTCTGGGGGCACTCGGAAGGAGGGAGGGTCAAGGAGCACTGGCGGGGGACCCAAGAAGAGGAGGATCGGGGCTGCTGTGTGCAAAATTTTTATATAGAGCAGGTAAGTATAACATGTATGATATTTTTTGTAAAAAAGAGAAAAATCTGCTTTTATTATCACTTCAGCTATGTAGTGAAGGGGCCTGGCAGATTAGATATAGATTGGTTGGATATATTAAGTCTGTTCTCATATTGTATTGTTTTGGTATCTTTAAATAAGATTGTAAAGAGGTTATACAATCATGTATTCTGTGTGGCCATCAATAGGTTAGCTATAAAGTTGTAAGTCGTTATGTCTCATCTGATGGTTTTGTTTCATTTTTCAAATAGGACTTCATGTGAACTCTCTGCCACCTCAGTCGAGAGGTTGTTTTTCATACATTTCTTTGTAATAGACGTATTTGTTCACGAATTCCCATTAACAGTCACCCTTTAGGTTATTCATCACTACCTCTTTAGGGCTGGTTCACACCAAATGCCGTCCAGTACATTTTTATTCTGCATCGAAAACATGGATTCCAATCGCCCTAGTTTACACCAGTGCAATGTGCTCCAGTCAGCAAAAGTAGAAAGTGCTCCAGTTTTTTCTGTGTGGAGTGCAGCAAAATGCATCAAAAACACACAGGGATGCAAATGTCCTCAATTGTCTTCATTGCTGGTTCACACCAGGAATTGCACAGGAATGCGGTGTGTGATTCACATGCAGTCCTGTGCAGAGCAATTTCAGCCATTCATTTTGAATGGGCTCCAATCGCACAAACACCAAAAGTAGTGAATGCACTACTTTTGCAAACCCACTGCACCCACATTGCATGGTACTTCTGTACCATGCGATCCAGTGTGGGAAAACGCACTGCATTTGTGACCTGCATTTTGGGGTGTCATTGATACCTGATGCAGATCGCAATTGCAGTACATTTTGAATATGGTGTAGGAAATGCGCACGGAGCGTCCGTTTCCTGCACCGTGTTCTGGTGTGAACCAACCTTCAATCGAGACGAATTAAAAGAAAAAAAGGAGGGGGGAAACTACCGGAATGCATCAACAAAGTGCCTGCAGGAATGCAGAAATTATGGTGTGAACTGGCCCTAAGCTGAACTCTCCATCCTAATACATGGTAATATTGAAGAATTCTAGACTATCAACTGACCCCTGTAGTTTTTAAACTTTCATTATAAATGTTAGAATCTTGTGCATGCTAACTAGTGATTTGCTGTTATTCATTTTCAGATTTTTACAGCCAGTTCAAAAAATTGATATGAATCTTACTGATCTTTTGGGGGAGCTCCAGCGAGATCCATGGCCTGTCCCACAGGGCAAGAGACCTCTGAGATCCTCAGGGGCTGCACTTTCTATTGCAGTTGGACTTCTTGAGGTAACAATACAGTGCTTCAGTTATCCATGTATGAAATTTGAACTACTTCCATATTCTGAATGTACACATAGTGAGTTATGCTGTATTTGTTGTAGAGGGTGGCATGTGAATTTGCAATATATTGCTTTTGTGTTTCTTTGCTTGTGTCCCCTAGTGAATGTGTGTGTGTGGGATTGAGGACGCTCTGCTTTCAATGCTAGAAATTGACAGCTGCAATTACATTGCAGAAACCAGGAGGCTGGTCAGCAGACAGTGGTCACATGTTGTTTTTTTTTTTTTTTTTTATATGTAGACTTTTTATTTAAATCCAGCCACAGAGCCGTTCAATACAGAATAATAACAAAAGTAATCAACAGTTCCATACAGCTCAGGCCCAAGATATGACCAGTACCAAGAAATGTAAAAAATCCAAAGTACAAGTATGCAAGAAACAATAAGCCAGTCAGAGAGTAGTGCAGTACAGCGACCACAACTTCACATGGGGCGTAGCCACAAAGTATTTATCACCCACCAATTACCTGCTACGTGACAGGACCCACAGTTTTATATAAAACAAACCAAAAAAAAGACATACTATTTGTAACCACTTGCCCTCCAGAGGATTTACCCCCCCCCCCCCTTCCTGACCAGGCCATTTTTTGTGATATTCGTTATTTTAACTGACAATTGCGTGGTCATGCAACACTGTACATAAATACTGTATAATAATAATAATAATGAAATTTGTCATTTTTTTCCCCACAAATAGAGCTTTCTTTTGGTGGTATTTGATCTTCGTTTATTTTTTGTGCTATAAACAAAACAATTCCACAAAACCCCCCAATATTTTTGACTTTTTGCTATAAAAAAATATCCATTAAAAAAATCTAATTTTATTCATAAATTTAGGCCAAAATGTATTCTGCTACATGTCTTTGCTAAAAAAAAATCCCAGTACGTGTAAATTAATTGATTTACGTGAAAGTTATAGCATCTACAAATGGCGGTATATATACAGGATTGGTTTTTTTTTATACTATTAATGGCGATCAGCGCCTTATAGTGGGACTGCGGCGGGCGGGCATTCTGACACTGGGTGGGAACTGTCACTGACATCCCCAGTGACACGAAACAGTGATCAGTGCTAATAAAAACCACTGGCACTGTACCCTTTGTCTTTAAAGGCAAAATGATTTTGCGGGTACATCACTTTGCTTGTACATCCCGCCTGAAGTCAATGTACTGTGGGAGCGGTCTGCAAATGGATACATTATTGGATTATTTATCCAATTCAGTTTTAGTTGCTGAAGTTTTATTATTTTAGGGTTTTTTTGATTTTATTGTGCTGTAGACATCTTCTCTCAGGAAATGGTATTCAGTGTTGTTTTGTAGTCCAAGATAAGAACTGGGAGGGCTAATTAGACTTTTTTGAGATAACACAAAATGTGTGCACAGGACAGTTCTGAATTTTGAACCGATCAACAGTTCTTACATTTATGGAACAGATTTAATCAAATGCTTTTGAAGGGAAATTTGATGGACCAAAAGGGAGCTCATAGGGAAGTTCTTGTTAGAATTTACACTTTAAGGGCCAGTTCACTCTACATGTGTTTTTCTGTGTGCTTTTTTTCTGTATCCAAAACTCACAGAAAGTAGGTTATATGGTTGTATGTCATATTTCACATCAGTACTTGCAGTTCCAGTGCGTTCCGGATGCAGAAAAAAAAGTAGAAGGGGCTGCATTTTTTTTTCTACAGACCTGTACTGGAACGCAGTAAAACATATAAAAAATGCACCAGAACGCACTGGAACATACCAAAAACACACTGGAACACACGTGTCCTTATTAGATTGAAGAAAAAAAGATGGGAAAAATGACCCGGAACACATGAAAAAAAACCACATCAAAAACATGCCGGGACGCTACAAAAACGCGTAAAAAATGCGCATGCAGAAACGCATCTGGAACTCATCTGGACAGCATTTCTATAGTGTGAACCGAACCTAAGAACAACATCTAACATACACACATTTGGTCTAGGTCATTTAGCTCACTGAATAGTGAAGCAAGGCGGATAGAGCACGTCTTAAAAAGCAGGAGTGGTAACGTTCACTCTTTCTCCCGCTTTCATTCTCCATTGCCCTTTAGGGGTAATGTTATTTTACCAATGCACCTATTCTTTCACGAGATGAAAGCACGTAACTTGCCTTTAGGACAGTCTAAATTTGGTCATTAATTTGTTTATTTTTAAACAGTGCACCTTTCCTAATACTGGGGCTAGGATCATGATGTTCATTGGAGGACCAGCCACACAAGGCCCTGGTATGGTTGTGGGGGATGAGCTGAAGGCTCCCATCCGTTCCTGGCATGATATTGAAAAGGACAATGCAAAGTACGTGAAGAAAGCAACAAAGGTGAGTCCTACTGAGCATTTGTCATTTCTTATAGCTTGGTGTCAGAGCAGGAGTGGGGAGGAATGTACAACACAGACTTTCATAGAAAAATATTATACTGAAAGATCCAAATAATTTTACTGGTATGTTACTACACATACCGTACTTTATTCTTATGGCAATAGCAAAAAAGAACTGCTTATTTAAACAAGGCTTTTGTACATTTGTAAAACACTGGAGCTAATTTAAAGCAGTAGTAAACTCTGATTTTTATCTTCTACCTACAGATAAACCTATAAGATAAGGCTTACCTTGGGTACAGGGATTATCTCCTGGACATGCATCGTTTAGGAGATATTTACATGTGTAGCAGCTGGTAACATCACTGGCATGCTGTCCATTGAGAGAACTGTTCCACGGTCATGCATGTGGAAGTGATGTATCGCAGCTCAGCCATTCAAATAGCCGGAGCCCGCCAACCTAGAAAAATGACTGGGTGAAGATGGAAGCCCTGTCAGCGGTAACAGTGTGCTGCTGGAGGGATCTATTTTTCAGGTAAATCTGTCATAGTATGTTAGTATGTGATGCATATTAGCACATTATGACATGAGCCTGCGGGGGACCTTTTTTTTTTTCTTTTTTTTTAAGCAAAGAAATCTGGAGGAAAAATAATACTGTTCCATGTAGCAGGATCCATTGTAACTAGCTATTACCTATGACAGCCAATCAGCATGTTTCATTTTCCTAGTGCAGTGTGGTTATGTGCTGTAGCTCCATTTTTGCTCTGGATTTCCTGCCTTCGGTGTTTTTCAAACCCTTTGGAATTTGGTTTCTGTGGGTATCCGCTCCACTTTTGCCCCTGTGCTCATAAATCAGCTACCTTGCGCTGAATGCAGATCTGCATGGGGTTTCAGGCCGATTTTTAAACTGATACTTCGAATAACAAAACAATGTAATACCTACACATGCCACCTAGTTCACAATAGTTGGACAGTATTTTTATGTAACACTTGTGATTTTACTGCAGAAATGTTCCTATTCCTATATTTGACATGGAAAGTTGATATGCAGTATATTAAAAAAAAAAAAATGTTAAAAGATTAACTGGTGAAAAAAATGCAGCCAATTGTAGTGACATTTGAAATAATTATACAGAGTATGGTGGAGTGGACTGGACTACATGCCTAGTCAAACAGAATTGCCATACCTTTGTATTTTGGTTCACGTATTTTCTTTTTGTGCATTTTGTGTTTTTAGCTTTAAATTGAGATTCTTTTTATGTAAAACAATAATTATGGATAATAAACCGTAGAGCATGTTGCCAGTAGGCGGCAGTATCTCCCAGAGTAATTATCATAAATTCATCTAAAGTGAATGTTTTGTCGTTTATGGATGGGTATGGCAGGATTTACTCCACTGACAATTATCTAGAGCTTTCGGGGGTCTTGTAGTGAGTTTTTTTTTTTTTTTTTTTACCAGGCACTGTTTTTTAACTGAACTACTTTACATTTTGACTTAACACATTACAAATTTCTACCAAAACAAGTCTTTATAGAACTCGAGATTCTGGGGGAAAACTGTATCACGCACAGCTTTTGGGAACTGCTTTTCAACAGAGCTACTGTAATCGCCAACCTAAAGTGGTTGCAAACCCTTACATATATCCAGTGAATTGACTGGTCTCGGGTGATACACAGAGATGAAACTAATCCTCCTACATAATTTGTACCTGTTCATCTGCAGTCTTCTCTTCTCCACATCTGTTCAAAGTCCAGAATTTATACAGCTTTTCTGAGCTCTCCGAAAGCAGGGGCGGGGAGCTGAAATTACACTGTGCAGAGCTCAGTGAGAGGTTATTGGAAGGAAGGGGCAAAACCCCCCTTCACACAGTGCATAGGAACAGGCTGCCAATCACAGGCTGGAGCTTGCTCTCCATCACCTTTTTTACTTCTTTGTGTCAGGATAACTTGTCAGAAGTGACTGGTGCAGATAGCAGAGGATAGAGGCAGCAGAGAGAAATGACACTTGGTGCCCTGGATTGAGACAGGTACACACTATAGAGCACGGGTGCTCAGCCTATTTAGGAACGAGGACCACTGATGTGATTTTGTAAACAGTTGCGAGCCACAATTAAATGGTTCAGAAATTCTAATTTTTTATTTTGAATGGCATAATGAAAATGTTCCTCCTGCAGCCGATGAATGCCAGCAGGAGGGAGAGGAGGAAAAGCCAGCCTTCAGTGGTTACAGGAAGAAAATGGAGAGTATCAGTTTTTGTATATGCCGCCCCCATTACCCCTCCTGTCCAAGTGTAAAACGGAATGTAACAGGGCGCATTGACCCCCTGGAGCATGGGACGAGGTCGCCATTGCAACTCCTGTCACTACATCAGTAGTGTGGGGGGAGGGGGGGGAAATTGTCTCAAATATGGGGTTTTGCCACCCCCCAAACCGCAAATGTAAATGTGCCCTTACTGTCTTGAGCCCCCTATAAGGCTGCTTTTACACTAATGCGCTGTGCTTTACTCGCACCACGGGTGCAACACAGTGCACCTGCAGCTTTTCTGCAGGTTAGGTGCGCTTTGCCATAGAATTCTATTATATCTTGTAAGTGTTGTGCACTTTCTGAAAGTTCACCACAACTCCTGCTCAGTGCAGCTAACCCACAGAAAACCTGCAGGTGCACCTTGCTGTACCTGTGGACCAGTGTGAAAACGTAATAGTTGTTAACCCTTTTACAGGTGCTAATGTGCCCATTGCAAAAGCTCAGTGTATATGTTGTTTAATACACTGACCTTTTTTTTTCCTTTTCCAACTTTTGCTGGCATCATTCTCCAGGTTGCTAGAAAAGTCCTAGGTGAAGTGCATTTGGTATCACTCCACCTGGGACAGGACCCAGCACTACAGAGAAAGCATTGGCTTATGTGGCTCCTGCTCTCTCCGCGGCTGCTTCCTCTGCTGCTTGTGCCAGCTCAATGCAATCTGATGCTCAGGGATGGCGGGTCGGCAAGCCCAGATCACGATCAATGGGTTGCCGACCCCAGGCTTCCCTGGTTTGAGGTTGAGGGCTACATCAGAGGGCCTCAAAGGCCACAGAACCCTAAAGCACCCTTGCACTTATTTTTCCTCCAGATTTCTTTTCTTTAATGATCTTAAAGCGATAGTAAACCATATTCAGGGTGTAACATGTGACATGTTATGAATAGACCAGCCCCTGCTTTGACAGCTAGCGGGGGATCTTCTACAACCCCCCTAGCTCTCAGAATGTGGGAAAAAAATGCAGCCGCGTGGGGTTGTGCCTGGCCGGCCGCATCGCTCATTCACAGTCCTCTGTGAATGAGAACTACAAGCCAACAATCACTAAGGCTTTTGGGACTTGTAGTTTCTCAATTAACTACAAGCTCATTCTTCCTGTCAGTATATCTGCTTGCCTGTACACCCGGTATGGGAAAGTAGATAGACTGACAGTCTGCAGGAGACCTACAAAAAAATGTGCATTTATTATTTTATAGCAAAAGGTGAACTTGTCCTTTAAGCAGGCAGGTGAGGCACAATCTTGTGCTAGATAATATAGTGCAAGAAAGCACAATGCAAAAGTTTTCTTCCAGATGGAAATGATAGTATTCCTTACAAGTATGCGCGGCCTATATACACTTATTTAGCTGAAAAATGTGTCTCCTAATCACAACAGATTTTATCCAAATGTTTTCTCCACCAAGCTGTATTTTCGTCTTCCTTCCAAAAAAGCTCACCCTTGATAGGAATCAAACCAAGCTATAGTCTACTTGAAACACCCCACCTCTTGCTGTTTTTGTGAATATCTTTTAAGGTACCATTTAGCTGACCAGAAATCATGGAGGTGGATGTAGACACTTCCAAATGGGTGTGCTAATATGTGGTAATATGTTCACACACATTGGACTGTGTAGTCATGAAAATGTATTGTTTGTATTTTCCTGCAGTGCACTTCACACTGGTAAGTAATTAAAAATTGTGTCTTCTCTTACCAGCATTTTGAAGCTTTGGCAAACCGTGCAGCTGCCTCTGGTCATGTAATAGACATCTATGCCTGTGCTTTAGATCAGTCTGGCCTCCTGGAAATGAAATGCTGTCCAAATAATACAGGGTAAGAAAAGACGGAAGGTGAAATGATGGCAAGATAAAAGCGATGCTCTTTCTTTCCAGCCTGTGTGGTTCTAAGAAAGCCAAAGTTATGAATTTATAAAAAGCATTAATTGTTTCTGCCTTAGAACAAGAGATCGCTGTGGTTGGAGTACAGAAAACAAGCTTTAAGAGGGAGTGCAATGTACCAGTGTATGTCCACTATAGTCAGTCAGTATACTTACATCTACATGTTTTCATTTTGATTTGACAATGGAACATAAAGCAGAACATCAGCCAAAAAATTATTTAAAAAATAATAGCCCATTAAAATTTAAAACGGCATCTTTTGCTGTGATACTCACCTGCAAACAATATCTAAAAGGTTTCCTGGCAAAAAGGGATTGTGAATGTAATTCAGGTGAGAATGAGTGTTACCAGAAAGATAGTATCTCACTGCATGCCACACCGTAGAATGCAACCGTGGCAATTGCAATTTTTATGTTACACATATTTTGCACTACTCTTTGTCATATCTTTCTTTAAAAAGTACACTGAAATGAGTTTTAGTGCACTCAACCACAATATAATACCCATTCTTTGTATATAAATATAGAGATGAGGTTGAATTTAAAAAAAATAGTAAATACAGTATGTTAAGGCTTAAAATTGCACAAAACTACAGTACCAAAATTGTTCATAGGCGTCACTTTAAATGCCTCTTACAGGTTATGGATTTAGAGTTAACTATGAAGGATGGTCCTGGAATTATTGCTCTCACTCCTGCAGCTATTCCTAATACATGTAGTGCTGTCTTTTTTGTATGCAAAAATGGGGGTACTTTGCCCCCATTTACATTGTTGGGGGAAATATTTTTTTTCAATTGATTGCAAAATTCAGTAGGGACAAGAATGCCTCGGACAAATGGCAGAGGGTGTTATGCAAGGAAGTGGCGCCTTCACACAGAGGGTGGAATCACTTTTACTGTAAAGCCAACAGCTCACTTTAAAAAGGCTAACAGACTCCCAGCTGCTATAGTTTAGTTTTCAGTGTTACATAAGGGTTAAAGTTACTGTTCTAGAGATTTCCCACCTATCTATTATCCCAGAAAAACAAGAAGTAAGAGGAAATCTCTCTTATAGGAAATTCAGTCAATGCTCACCCTAAAACAAATGCTGCTCATCTATAACTCAGTCCATTTAAAGTGGTTATAACAGTTAATTTTTTAATAAAATATTTAACATTTTATATGTATCTGTTGCCCTCCCTGCCCCGTCCTGTCCCGTCCCATTGCTCTCCACTCCTCTTCTGCGAGTGTCCCCATAGCAAGCCAGCTGCTAAGGGGCACTTGTGCGGACATGCTCCAGAGCTGGGCTGTGTGCATCCAGTATGACTCTACCCTACTCCTGCCTCACAGAATTTGATTGACAGTAGCAGGAGCCAAAGGCTCCCACTGCTGCTTCCATGTCCAGTGAGGAGAGAGAGCAGCAATGCTGGATGGAGAAAGGACCCAGGTAAGTGTTTATGGAGGTAGGTGGGGGGGGGGGGTAGCGATACAACTATTGGAACATTCTTTACCTTAATACATGGAATGCATTAATGCAAACAATGTCTTGCCTTTAGAACCACTGTAATTAAAAAAAAAAAAAAAATTATATATATATATTTATATATATCCTTTTCTTTCCTCTATTTCTACAGCATTGTATCAAAAAAGTCAAGCAGTGGTAAATTGCACAGGCAATAGTGATACAATCTTCTTCTTACTGTGAAAAATTTACCTCATCTAGTAAACTTCAAACTTTGTACAGGTCCTCTGGGCTTAGTAGTCCCACAACGAACAACCTCCTCCCCCATGGTCCCTGCTACACTTACCTCTATGTGTGATACCATTTCACTGTCCACACATCCCAGTGCCGCAGTCATGGGGTTTGAAAACTGCACTGTTCCTCTACTTTCCTTAGGGACACCAGGACAGATCCGTTTGATTCTGATTGGTCGGTGCCGGCAATGTGACAGCACTGATCAATCAAAATCACTCTGATCTGTCCTCCTGGTGTCCCTAGGGAAAGAAGAGAAAGAACAGTGAAGTTTTCAAAGCCCAGGACCTCTGTACTCCTAGCTACATGATCAAGAGAGAAGCCTAGGGTGACAACACTGCTTCTCCAAATATACAGTCTGAGAAAGTACTGTCACCCTAGGACAGGATAAGTGTCACTGGTGGTATTACCAGGCAAAAAAAGAGAAAAGGCCTAAAAAATGAAAACTAATGTAGCCACCACATCTAAGAACAGTTACTAGAACTGGTAAGCTGCAGTATATATTTTTGTTTTGGAGTTTTGATTAGCTTTTAACTTCAAATGCTACTAAACACCCAGTGTTCACTTTACATTATCCCTCTGTCTATGTATATGGATGATGGCACAGTATTTATTTTAATTTTAAGAAAAAAACATCTAAGTACCTTTTTTCATATTTGATATACAGCTGTCATGTGACCCAGCTCTTTCCCAGCCTATCTGCAGGAAAACATTGCCGAGAGGAGTTTCTAGTCCTCTGCTGTTAGTCACATGTTGAAAAAAAAAAAACAGGCTTTGAAATACAAAGGAAAAATACATATCAAATGTTTTAAATAGTCATAAAATATGTATTTGAACTCAAATCCTTATTATTTTTGTGCAAAAACATGATGTGGACTATGTAGGGTGAGGTTCTGCCAATTATAGCCTGTTTCCCGCCCTTCCAGCCTGTATCTATTATTATTATTGTTATGCAGAATTTATATAGTGTCAACAGTTTATGCATTCATTTGTATGTCCTCAAAATTACATGGAGGTGAAGCCTCCATCAATCAACATCAATCCCCTGCCGGCACTCCTGGCTCCACCTATTTGTCAAATGCCCCCATAGGAAGCCACTTCCTGTAGGAGCCCTGTAGCGGGGTCAATCCCAAGCCACAATGCCTACGACTATAGACACAGGCAGCACAGCTTGGGTCTGTCCTCTGCTCCCTCATAACAGGACTGGATGGACAACAGCGGATGCCAGTTGCTCCCACTGTTTCGTTTCTGTCCTGTGAGGAAAGGGAGCCTCAGCTCTTGGCACAGCGCTGGATTGAAATCAGGCTCAGGTAAGTATAAGGGGGTCTGGGGGAGATCCTGTGCAGAGAAGGTTTTTTTACCTTAATGCAGAAAATTCATTAAGGTAAAAATAACTTAAGCCCATTAGAGCCACTTTAAGTCTAGCTTGACTGTCTATTGTTGTTTCCCAAGAAAATCCAGCAGCGAAGAGTATGGGCTATCATACATTTTTCTGGAAGTTTATTTATTTTGTTTATTGGATAAGTCTCATAGTTTTAAGCCCATAACCAGCCGAAATAACTGTGTAATGCCATTTTCAATATAGTTTTGGGTAGCGTGGGAAAGGGTTAGAACTTCAGTCAGTTTAGTTCTGTCAGTGGGGGGCAAGGGTACTCTTTCCTTATGAGAGAGGAGAAATATTCCCATGAGGGCTGCAGGCAGCAAAATAAACCTGACTATAACCCTCCCCCCCCCCCCCCCTCCCGCTAAAGAAACTACCTTAATTGTCATTGGTGTTACAGATATTGTATTCACTTTCTGTCCTGATGGCCACACTAAAACAGCGCAATCATAGCAGGGATGCAGACAGCAGTAGTAAACCAACAGAGTTTTCTTCACTTTCCAAAACATAGTAGAGTTATTTACTAAAGGTAGTGCACTCAGAATCTGGTGCAGTTGTGCATGGTAGCCAATCAGCTTCTAACATCAGCTTGTTCAGTTTAGTTTTGGCAATAAAACCTGGATGTTGATTGGTTTCTATGCAGAGCTGCATCCGATTTTGCACCATGCAGTTTTGGTAAATAAACCCCATTGTGTCATGTATTTTTAGCATGATGTCTTATTTCCTAATATGTGACTTACATAGAATGATTTGTCTCTGCACAGTGGTTACATGGTGATGGGAGACTCCTTCAACACCTCCCTTTTCAAACAGACATTTCAGAGAGTTTTTACTAAAGATGCGCAGGGCAACTTCAAGATGGCATTTGGTGGTACTTTAGAAATCAAGGTAAATAACATTTTTTTGGACTTATGTGGTGGAATCTTGCATGAAAACTCTATTGTTTTGGGCTGTGACATGAGTAATATCATCATGTTTGTTACCCCAACTTGGTTCTAGGTCAGTGTTATATGGTCTTTCTTTAGTTTATAAGTGTTTAAACTGTTTTGTGTGTGTAGGTATGTATGTGTATATATATGTGTGTGTATGTATGTGTGTATGTATGTATGTATGTGTGTGTGTGTGTGTATGTATATATATATATATATATATATATATATATATACACACACACACACATTGTTGTAGTTCATGTTTTGGCTTCATCGTCTAAATTGCACAGGTATCAAGAGCACATATTGTCATAAAAGCACTTGTATTATAGTCATTTTTTTTGTTTTTCCTACAAACTTTTATTTTGATTCTTATGTATTTCATGGGTTATGAAGACATCAAGAGAGATAAAAATATCAGGTGCTATTGGACCCTGTGTATCCCTGAATGCCAAGGGGCCCTGTGTTTCTGAAAATGTGAGTATAAAGGTTTTTTTTTTTTTAATTGAAAAAAGTTATTTTTTTAAAACTGTTGTGTCATATTAAATACAACTTAACCACTTGCCCTCCTGAGGATTTACCTCCCTTCCTGACAAGGCCATTTTTTGTGTTATGGTGCTGCGTTACTTTAAAAGACAATTGCGTGGTTACGCAATGCTGCTCCCAAATGAAACTCACATCCTTTTTTTCCCACAAATTGTGCTTTCATTTGATGATATTTGATGGCCTGTGCGGTTTTTTTTTTTTTTTTTGCGCTACAAAAAAACCCAAAAAAACGACAATTTTGAGAAAATAACAATATTTTTGACTTTTTGCTATTAACCCCTTGACGCCGACATAACACAAATGTGCGGCCTCACAGAACTGGGTTTTTTTTCCATGGGGCTGCATATTTGCGTACCTGTCTTTCTGCTGGAAGTGCGCCACATGGCGTGCTCCCAGCAGAAAGACTGCAGTGTCACTGAGAGCACCGGGTCCTGTTCTAACGATCAGGACACTGGACTCCCAATTCCAGGTCACATGATTGCTGTGATTGCCTCTGATTGGCTGTCACAGTGATCAGTCACTGTACAGCCCAACCCCTTGGTTTTTTTTTTTTCCTCTCTATGAATGGAGGAGAGAGATATATTGTATCTCTCTAATTCCTGGTATAGAGGGAAAAAAATGTTTGTAAAAAAACAAACCAAAAAAAAGCTAAATACATTTTAAAAAAGAAAAGAAAAAATACCTAGATCAAGGTTTGATCTAGTTTAGTTCCAGGGTAAGTATTTTAGGTAAAAAACAAAAACAAAATGTGCACTATTGTTTCTGGGCTGTACTACAGGTACAAACAACAAATAGCATACACATATATGGTATCGCTGCGACCGTCAAGAGCTGGAGAATTTGTTTTGGGTTGTTCTTTGGTGTCAGATTATGGTAGTAACAAACACACAGCTAAATAAAAACACAGTTTTCCTTTGATAATAAAAAAAAAAATCAGGACATATCCATTACCATTTGCCACCAAATGAAAGCCCAATTTGTCCTGAAAAAAACAAGGTATAATCCACCTGGATGTACAAAGTAGTTGGGATGATATGTACAGTTTTACTAACACATGTCAACGTTGCGAAATTGTGCTTAGGCATTTGATTTGTTTTACCCTTATGCGTGAAGAGGTTAAACATGTCCAGTAAAAAAAAAAATCAAATTTCGTCATAAATTTAGGCGAAAATGTATTCTGCTACGTGTCTTTGTTAAATAAAAATCCCAATACGTGTATATTAATTGGTTTACGTGAAAGTTATAGCGTTTACAAATGGCGTTTATATATACTGGAATTTTTTCTTTTTACTAATAATGGCAGTGATCAGCAACTTATAGCAGGACTGCGGCAGGCATTCTGACACTGGGGGGAACTGACTTGGTGTCACTGACATCCCCAGTTTATCATTGCTAAAAAAAAAAAAAAAAAAGCACTGATACTGTACTAATGGCACTGGGCAGGAAAGGGGTTATCACGAGGAGCGATCAAAGGGTTAACTGTGTGCTGGGAGTGTTTTACTGGAGGGCGGTGTTTTGGTGCTTCACTGTAAGCCGACAGGGAGGAGGTCTGTTAGTGAATAAAGCAGCACTCCTCCCCCGTCGGAGATCCTCGGTTAGCACCTGGTTCCGGGGGGAAATCATTGGGCGGGACCTGGTGATTGACAGCTGTGAATCGCAGTGCGGGTAGGGTGTGCACGCGCCTCCTACCCGGACACACAAAATCATGTATGTATGTATATATATATATATGTATATGTGATTTTGTGCACCCCTGCCACCCTGTAGCAGTATAGCTGCTATATCACAAGTGTAATAAAAGCGCCACACCCTTAATACTTTAAAGCAGCAATTCCACCTCAAAGAAACCAAATAAATTTCTTAGTGCTATAACTTAAATCAAGGAATGCGCTAAAACCACAAACTATTCCTAATTTAGTGTAGAAACATTAGTGCAAAAGATATATATATCTATTATCAATTAATATCAAAAAATATCAAAATTATGTGCAAAACATAAGTAATTTAAATAATTAAATTTGTGAATATAAAAAAAACAAAAATGTCCAATTCTGAATTTCTTCAAATGTCCAAACAAATCCTTTCCAAATTCAGGTGCTCTCAAAGAAATTGTGCCAAAAACCACCACCAAAAGTAAAGTTGGGTAACTCACCAGAGCTCCATGCTGATCAATCTCTAGATCAGCAAAAAACGCTTTTTGCTCTGGGAGCAGATGCAATGAATCAACTTCTCAGGTGTGATGATCAATAGCTACACATTCATCCATAAGGTAGGTATCCACCACTCAATATAATGGTTCCAGGAGCATTATATCACTCTCTCTTTTTATATCTCTCCACCGAGGTCATGTTTGGGAATGAAAGAGAAAAATCATGGTGCAGCCAGTTTTTTTATAAAAGTATCCAACAATTTAATAAAGATTTACACTCACATAAAAGTATAGCTGCTATAGGGCGGTCGGGATGTTGTTAATTAAATCTTTTCAAGTTCAAGGCTTTTGCCTAGGCTGCTGTGATGCTCTGGCCACTGGATGGTCATTGCCTGAAGCTCCCTGTTGCTTTAACTGGCTAACAGAGAGATAACATTTATACTTTTATTAAACTGAATAAAAGTTTTGGTTAGAGATGTAAAGAGATATAGCTGACCTGGCAAGCTACGTATCTAGTGATGGACAGGATAAACTGGAAAAATATATATGAGACCATATGCCTTAGAAGTTACTGTTAGCAGATAGTAAAACCAGTTTTATAAGACTTTTTATAAGCATCAGAACATTTCATGTGAGTTAAATAATTAGTCAGGTTGACAGAAGGCACATGTCCATCTAGTTCAACCAATAGAAAAAAAAATACTTAGAAAACCACCAAGGGTTAAGGATTGATAACCTGTATGTAATTTACTGAACTTGTGTACCCACTCTCTAAACAGTCCAAAACTTGACGCAAGTCTTCTACCACTTAAAGACTTTCTCTAGGATAACTAAACACAAGAACAAGAATATAATATATTGCTGTTTACCAGTCCTTAGATGAGGTGGCTGTTTTAGTTTATATTTTTCAGCTTAAGAACATTTTCAGCAAGTACAGAAGATATGTGCTGTTGCCAGACATGCAGTGTCCTTGTCCTTGTGACTGACTTCATGTGAGCTGAAATAAAAGCCAAATCAATGTTATCTTTCTTCTGTAAACTACTTATTCCCCAACTCACTCATGTAAAGGAGATGAACAAAGGCAGATATTATATTCATTTCCTGCTTTCACTTCCTGTCCTGTTGACATAAGTGGAAGTGAAAAAAATTTCTGCAGAGTAAGGGAAAGCCCTCTTTAAACATTTATCAGGGGAGCAAGTGTCATAATTGGAAGAATTCTCCTCTATTCCTATTCTGATGTCAACTCAGGAATTTGTAGTTTTTTTTTCAGTATCAGTGACGGTCACTGGGACAGTGATAGTTAGGCTACGTTCACACTAGCGTTGTGTGCAGGCGGCAGAGAGGCGTTTGGGAAGCGTTTTTACTGCTTCCCAAACGCCTCTGCCTATTCTGCACATTATAGCACATGGTGCTGTTCTAATGGGAGCGTTTGCGTCGCGTTGCGTCGTGGCAAAACGGACACCTCTGGTCAAGTCAGGAGGCATTGAAGCCTCCTATTCTAGTCTTAGGTGCTGCTCCACAAACGCCCGGCCGGCGTTTGCGGTGCGGTTGCGTGGCGTTTGCAGAGCGGTAACACCATTCAAACTGCATTATAGGCGTTTGTGGGGCGTTTTTAACGCTCGGCAAACACCTAGTAACCGCCACTAAACCGCGCATGCGGCGTTTGTGGAGCATTTGCCGAGCATTAAAAAACGCGCCACAAACGCCGGACCAACGCTTGCCAAACGCTATAGGGGCGTTTGGCAAGCGTTGGTAAAACAGCCAAGTGTGAACGAGCCCTTACTCTCTAGCATGGACAGTGATTAAAAAAAAAGTAGTTCTTTCGCCTGTCTACTCGATAAAAAATGAAAATAAAAGTTTGCCTTTAGATGCTGTGACTTTTTAATTTAAAGCGGTTCTAAAGTCTCAAGATTTTTTTTTTTTACCTGCATGCATTCTATGCATCCTTACCTGAGCCCCCTCCGATACAGCTACGTTCTCGACAGCCTCCTCTGTCTGGGAACTCATCCTCCTCATTGACTGAGACAGCAGCAGGAGCCCATTGGCTCTTCGGAAGTGCGCCGCACAGGTGCCACCTCCGCACACAGCTTTCTGAAGGGGATCCTCAGAGGAAAGAAAGAGCGGACCGTGCCGGTGGGGGACTCTAGAAGAGGTGTTAAGGGATCAATCTATCCAATACCATTGCACAGAGCAGGTAAGTTTAAACTATTTTAATGTTAGGGAAAAAAAAACAGCTTTTAAATCACTTTAAACCAGGAACCCTTTCCAGTTACAGGTTTTAATCCCTGTGCAGCTTACTTTCTCTCTTTAATTCACTGCATGTTCTCTTTGACACCCTTTTCTTGCCACGAAGAGAAAAGCTATTTCTTCATGGTCCTTAGCAAAGCTGCAGCTTTTACTTTCAAGCCTGCATCATTTAAAAAAAAAAAAACAGACTAGAGTTCTACATTATCCTGTTTGTAGTTTTTATATATGTTCCCATCCTGTCTTTATTCTTTAATTGTAGCACATATCTTACTATAATAGTTTCTAAATAAAACCTAAAACAAAGTGTTGTAAAAAACAGATTTAGTTTTATTATTAAATATGCTCACCACTGCCTATTTTGGGGAAAAAAGGGAAAATGTTCATTTTGTCTGTTCTGAAGTATTTGTAATGCATTCTGAATCACTTCTTTTCTGGCCCTGAAACAAGTTTTCCAGCCACAGACTTAAAATCCTTGCAGCAATTATACAGTTAATTATAAATGCTGTTAAATGATATGAGAGAAGTGAACCGGTAATGTGCCCTGTCTGTCATCATTTGAGCTTGATATTTTCAGCGGATATTATGTGGAAATTTTACTGTTTGGAAAACAAAAAGCCTTAGAAGCATTTTACTGAGATACAGAAAAATTGTGCCTCTAACTGACCATGGCGCCTTATCTATTCTGATTTCTATCTGGCTAATGAGAATTTCATTGCTCTAATGTCTCTCACAGGAGATTGGTACGGGTGGGACGTGTCAGTGGAAAATTTGTGGCCTTAGTCCGACCACAACCCTGGCCGTATACTTTGAAGTGGTTAATCAAGTAAGTAAATAATGTAAGGTTTAAACCTCTTTTTAAATATCTAATTTTTTCACTACATGTTATTTTACTGTGACCTTTTATTTATAATTTAACAAAAAAAATTCCTTTCTTTCTTTCATATTTCTTTCTGTACCACCTCAATTCCAAAAAAGTTGGGATGCCGTGTAAAATCTACATAAAAACAGAATGCAATGATTTGCAAATATCATAAAACCATTTTTTATTCAAAATAGAAACATATCAAATATATTTTCTATTTGGACTAAAAATATGGATTTATGAGATTTGAAAATCAATTCATTCTGTTTTTATGTTTTATGAAATTGGGGTTGTATTTTACATATATATTACATATATGGTACAAAGACCAAAATAAGTGCTATGGGTTTTTTTTATAGATATGTGAGTTGTTTTGACTAACTTTTTCATCTGCGCCTGATGAAGCAGAGAGGGCAGTACATACATGTGTGAACTGTACCTTTTTAGAATAAAAGTGGTCCATTGCTCATTTGTGTAGAGTAATGAGGTGCATCACTGCACTAAAGCAACCCACGTGAATGAGGCTGACGATTTTGTACATACAAAAACTCAGGATATTTGTTAGCATCCAGGTTCACAGTCTATGTATGACAAGAAGATATACTCCTGCATCGCTTGTTTGACAGTTTTATTTCAGAAGTTTTGTGATAATCAGAGGTTTCTTTTGCATGCGCATCACTTCAAACAAACCGCAAACACTTTACCATAGGACAGACACAGATTGTGAAATTTACGTTAAAAATATCACTTATAATGGCTTGGAGTTTTCATATATAAATTAGACACTAACAGAACAACATTTTATATAAATATGGCTTGTAAACAATAATGTACATTCACAGAAGTATGTTTTTAAAGTATAACTAAAGGCAAAACTTTTTTTTTAGCTTTGGATAGAGTGGATTAGAATACCTGTCGGCTTTTATTGCTGTCTGTGCCCCCATTAAGGAGATTCACCCTCTCTATTTGTCCTGTTTGCCATTATCATTGAAAGTGAAAATAAAACCCCAAATTATGGGTTGTCCCCAGAAAAGTAATAGAGGGGAAATCTTCCAATCGGGACACCAGTCCTGGTGACTTGAGGGTCCCCAAAGAATTCTCTTAATTTGCAGGGGTTTCCTCATCATTCCTGTTTTGCCTATGGTACAGGAAGTTTAGGCAAATCTCCCCAATGAGACACAGATGGCAAAAAATATACTGCCGGGTTATAACTCTCCCTTTCTCTATCCAAACTAAATTAAAAAAAACTTTGTCTGTAGTTCTACTTTAAAGGATAAGTTCACCTTTGGGAACCTGTTACATGTTCCACCTGTTTTTAGGGGGAACATGTAACATGTTCCCAATGCTGCAGCTGCTGTTCGAAGCCCCCCCCCCGACTTGTAGTTCTCAATTAACTACTACAGTGCTGTGGAGCGCCGTGGTAGTTCATTGTTCCTGTCAGTATATCTGCTTGCCCGTACATACCATACAGGCCAGCAGATATACTGACAGGCCTGCAGAAGACCTGCATGGCACCTGTGATCTGCTGATTGCTGGTGTAATTCTTTAGAGGCTGCTTTAACAAAAAGTAATAAGTGAACATTTTTTTACCTGCAAAAAGAATTTGCATTTATTATTTTTTGTCAGAAGGTGAACTTATCCTATAACTATAAAGTTTCATGTGTATTCCCTATTTCACAGTTGCCTGATGCATTCTGAGAGTTGAAACAGGGTAATCCCTGGCATAAATAATGCTTACTGTTCTCATGCAACCCCTTGGCACTGCAAACCTTTCTTTGTAAACCAACACAGCTTCTTGAATGGTCTAATTTAATTTAGTGCATACATTTCTTATATACAGGGAAGATGAAGGGTGAATTCTGAAAAGCTTTTCACTTAACAGTTACATGCCCTACCAACCATTCATAGTTCATTTAGTTTTGCATGGAAAGGTCATGTCATGACTGATTTCTGAAATTGTCAGTTGCCTGGCTGCTATGCTCATCCTCGGCTTTCAGTATTTCTCAGTCACTGACCTGGAACACATATACAGATTAGGGTCAGAATTTCTTTATATGCTTGCTTATTCCAGGTCAGCAACTCAAAGTATTGAAACAAGTGTGTCAGCGTAACTGCCAGACCAGTAGACATTCAGCATTGTCTGTTGTTTTGATTCTCCTGTGACAGGTCTCCTTAAAAGAAAAAAAAAAAAATTTTAAAAACTTAAAATAAATCCGAAGTTTATATATGGCAATTTTTACATAGTTAAATTGGTCCAGCTACGGGACCCAGAAGCTAGTGGTGTTCACTGTAATAGCAGTGCCTACAACTGTTATTTACAACTTCATGGGGATCCCACAGGTATGGCACATACATACTTACATTGGTCCAAGCTGGACCATTGTTACTATGCAAATATTGCCAAACCTAAACTCTAATTTTACAAAAATGAATATGCTATAATGTACAGTATGTATATTGATTCAAATACTTTATTTTTTAGACTGCCTTCAGTAGGTTTATTATCTGTATTTTAGGTATAACATCTCATTAGATTCTCCTCTGTGAATTATGGAAAACCCTGAGTTAGTGTTAATGTAAACTATTATTTAGGGGTGTAGGAGCAGGAGAGAATAGTAAAGGTTTGTACATTTCCCATTGAATTTAAAATTTCTAATGCTGCAACTTGTATACTGTGGATTTTGTAGTCATTGTTAAAAAAGAAAAATGTATCTAGTTCCAGTAGCAATATTTCTATATACAGTTGTGTTCAAAATAATAGCAGTCAGACATCACTAACCTGATCAATCACTGTTTTTTGGTAGAAATTATATTTCTACATGGCAAATCATTTACTATCAGGTGTAGTAGAGTAATAGAAATCCAACTGACCCAACAGTCATGACATGCATGCTGCTGATTCTGTGTAATTGAATCACTAATTGAAAGGGGCATGTTCAAAATAATAGCAGTGTGGAGTTCTATTAGTGAGGTCATTCATTCTTTGAAAAACAGGTGGCAATTATTGCCCTTATTTAAGGAAGGAAGGCAGCAAATGTTGTACATGCTGGTTACAGTGCATTTCTCTCTGAAATTCTGAGGAAAATAAGTCGTTCCAGACATTGTTCCGAAGAACAGCGTACCTTGATTAAAAAGTTGATTGGAGAGGGGAAAACATATAAAGAAGTGCATAAAATGATAGGCTGCTCAGCTAAAATGATCGCAAATGCTTTAAAATGGCAAGCAAAACCTGAAAGACATGGAAGAAAGCGAAAAACTACCATTCGAAAGGATATAATAGCCAAAATGGCAAGGACTCAGCCAACAATCAGCTCCAGGAAGATCAAAGAAGGTCTAAAGTTACCTGTGAGTACTGTTACAATTAGAAGACGCCTATGTGAAGCCAAGCTATCTGCAAGAAGCCCCCGCAAAGTCCCACTGTTGAAAAAAAGACGTGCTGAAGAGGTTACAATTTGCCAAAGAGCACATTGACTGGCCTAAAGAGAAATGGCGCAACATTTTGTGGACTGATGAAAGTAAGATTGTTCTTTTTGGGTCTAGTGGCCGGAGACAGTTTGTCAGACGACCCCCAAACACTGAATTCAAGCCACAGTACACTGTGAAGACAGTGAAGCATGGTTGCGCAAGCATCATGATATGGGGATGTTTCTCATACTACGGTGTTGGGCCTATTTATTGCATACCAGGGATCATGGATCAGTTTGAATACATCAGAATACTTGAAGAGGTAATGCTGCCTTATGCTGAAGAGGAAATGCCCTTGAAATGGGTGTTCCAACAAGACAACCACCCCAAACACACCAGTAAACGTGCAGCATCTTGGTTCCAGACCAACAAGATTGACGTTATGGAGTGGCCAGCCCAATCCCCGGATCTTAACCCAATAGAAAACTTGTGGGGTGACATCAAAAATGCAGATTCTGAGGCAAAACCGGGAAATAGAGAAGAACTGTGGAATGTAGTCCAATCATCCTGGGCTGGAATACCTGATCACAGGGGCCAGAAGTTGGTTGACTCCATGCAACACAGATGTACAGCAGTTCTCAGAAACAGTGCTTATACAACTAAATATTCATTAAGTGATTCAAAGGAAAGCAAAATCTTCAAACATTTTTCAGTTTATATAGTGAATGTTTGAGTTTGTAAAGAAGAATACAAACACTGCTATTTTTTTGAACAGTCTAATATTCACTTTTCTTCAATTTTTTTTAGAGGAACAACACAAATTTGATATATTTTTCTTCATGTTTTGATTTGCAATAGAATGTGTAGTGTTCCCAATGCATTTGTGTGTATGGAAATAAAAGCTATTAGAAGGATTTTGAGCTTTATTCACTTTTTTCAACACACTGCTATTATTTTGAACACAACTGTAGATGTAGCTTTAATATGCAATTATCACATTCATACAAATTAAATTAAACACCAGCTGCAGTGATGTATTCATTTGCATCCTTTATGATAGTAACGTGTAATAATTTCTTTACATGAATTTTACATAATAATATGATTGACCAAAGAAACGTCGTATTGAACTTTTTGGGGCAACAACACGTGCGCTACAATACATTTTCTTATCTGAGATAATAAATATATCAACTGACAAACACTTAGAAGATGAGCTACATTCTTAAAGTTATGCCTTGAATCCAGTAAGGTTGGGATTCCCATCTTGTCATTACTTGTATATGAAAGCAGATCAGTCTTTACTGTTACTTTCAAGTCAGTTCCAAGCAGCCTTTTTTTCCATTGTCACAGCTACACTATTGGTGTCAGTAGTTTTCGAGGACAATAATTGGGAAGGGTCAGATCCTATCATCTTGTCTTCTTTCTCCACAAAACTAAGATCTGCAGTTAATAGAGAAGAAACATGTTTATATATAGCCTGAGAGCATTTGTTTGAGCACATTTTGCTTCATTCCTTTCAGCTGAATGCAGAATGATGATATCATTTAAACACATACATACTGGTG